AACATGGATGTGCAAATCTCTCCTCAAGACTCTGTTTTTAATTCTTTTGGATATATAACCAGAAGTAGAATTGCTCAGCTGTATATTTTCCACTCCTATTAATTTCTAATAACTAACAACTTTAACATTGTGCCTTTAAATTTATATTCTTAAATTTGCTATAAAGTGAATAGAGTTGAAAGCTGGATACACTGGAAAAGAAAGCTAAATATTCTCATGGGCAATCAGTTGAAGGAATTTCATATAAATTATTAATTGAAAGTAGTTCTTTTTATCTTTTTGGGGGGAAGGGCATAATATATCCTCTTGAGACCCTAATGAAATCTACAGAGCTCAGTTAAGGAAAAAACACACATAGAAACATGCTTCCAACATATAGATTGGACTTCTAGGAGATTCATGAGCCCCTGAGTCTAGAGGCTGCAAACATAAAAGCCTCTTTACATTGGTAAATAACTAAAGATGACTGTAAACTCCATGTGGGAGCTATATTTTATATTCTTTTTACAATAAAACCTGGGCTGCATCTTAAAGGCTGAAAATCCTGTAAGGCCAGAAACTTGGTTTCAAAATTCTAATAAATTCCAATACCAATGCCAATAAATATTATTCAGACTCAAAGGACCACATGATTTGAATCTATTTGTGAGTGATGAATCCAATGTACCTTAAATTCCATCATTAGCTATTTCTATAACCATTTTTAGATCCCCAATTCATAAACATTGGAAGCTGTTGCTTATCTCTTACACGAGCCCCTAAAGACTATGCATTTAGTGTTGATTGAGCTGTGAGGAGGAAACAATAAAAAACGTAAGTGAAAATTCAGTTTAAAAATCAGGAAACATGACAAAAGATGAAATCTGACTCACAAAATCTGTTTCAAGTTTTCCCATTTCTTGCTTGTAGCTTCTCATTCTGTTGCTATACATTCCTCGACTTTGGGGTGGTATCTCTCGGACTTCCAGATCCATCTGTTCAAGCTAGAAGGGAAAGAAAAATGTGATTTAAACCATATGTTTATTCTTTATTTGACCAAATGTTCAGAGCTGAAAGGATTTAATTCCAATTCCTTATTTTATAGCTGAGGAACCAGGCTCAGGGTACTAAATGTACCAGGTTGAGGAATCAGACCCAGGGTGCTGAATGATTAAATAACATTAGAACTACTTTTGTGCCTAATTTTGTAAGCCCAAGTGCTTACTTAGTCGAGAATTTCTTTTAAAACATATGCATTAATCCAAACATTCGCAATAATTTTGATTTCAATATCCTTGGAATAGCCCATCATTCAGTCCAACCTGGTCTTATCTTCTGACCATGAACCTCCAGAACTGTGGGAAGATAAACTCAGCCATTATTTCCTGTGGTTAATCCATGAAACATCAGCCCAGCCTTAGTCATTTGATGTAAGTTCTTACGGAAAGTATTTTCTAACTAGGAAAATCCCATAACAACCAACATGTGATCTCAACCTCCAGCCTAACTCCTGACACTTTATAACCATGTTGATATAAAGTTAAATGGATATAGTAATATGCTAAATTACACACAGTTCACTAAAATCACAGCAGGGCACTTTTTTTTTTTTAACAACCTATCATCACATAACACTTTGGATACAACCTGTGGGAACTTAATGGGTGGTAATGCAGAGATACCATAATGGCTCAGAACACAGGCTTTGGAGTCAGACTCCTACATTCACATCACAGGCTCCACGACTTACTGGTCATGGAAACTTAAGCAGGTTTCTTAACATCTCTGTGCCTTATTTTTCCTCATTTCTAAAATAGTATCTCTTTCCGAATGCAGCTGTGAAAATTAAATGTCTTAATTCCTATAATGTTCTTAGAATACTATCTCTTGCTTGGTAATCACTAGATTAATGCTAACTATAGTAATGATGATTACTAATGATGAAAAAGAAATACAGCAAGCACTACACAAAGTACCAGAAATAGCTACTTGTACTTGGCATTAAAAAATAAAAAGCAGTAACAACAACAAATTGGCCAGGCCATGTTTGATAAAATCACATGCAAAAATGTTGCCATGTGTTCTACCTTTTAAAGCAATCTAATGAAATTATTTCCATGAGTAGTATAGGCTTATTACTAATAAAATTCTTATTATTCAGTAATTGACACTTAATAACTATAGTAGGATATAGATAAACCAGACAATCACATTTTAATTAACAGGCCTCAATTTTTATAAAGACAAAAAATTTTAATTAGCCTTGATTTAAATAATAATCATTTAAATTACTGACATGTTTCAACATAAATGTGAGGTACCAACAAATTAAATCGTCACTTAGCAAGGTAATTATTTAAAGCACCTCTCTGAAATCATCAAGTACTTCACTCTAACAGGGTGAACAGGATCATCTAGAAAAATAATTACAAAAGTTCATGTATATAAATTAAAATCTGAGAGTTGGCCAGGTGCACCTGTAATCCCAGTGCTTTGGGAGGCCAAGGTGGGAGGATCGCTTGAGCCCAGGAGTTGTAGGTTGCAGTGAGAATGATCATGCCACTGCACTCCAGCCTGGGCGACAGAGCAAGACACTGTCTCTTAAAAAAAAAATCTGAGAGCTAAGTATATTTATTTTTGTTTAAGGCATTTTACATGGACATAAAACTAAATTAAAAGTAGGTAGGAAAGAAAAAGGAAACACACAACAAGCACTTAAAATGCAATCAGGAATAAAGCTAATACGCACTTGTTCTATGTTGTCACAACATTTATATGGCCGACATAGATGGAAGACAAAATAATTACAAGATGTGCAGTGTCCAGGAGATTAATACAAACCAATTGTTTAGCAGAAACACAATTAATCCTAACAGTCAAAAAAAAAGAAGTTTTTCCCCCGGGATCCTCATCAAAAGGACAGTATGTAATATAACAAACAGTGTCCTTAATAAGGATGTCATTAGAATAAAGTAAATCAGCTTTCTGGTCATTTTAAACAAATAGACACATATATCTTGGACAAAACTCTTTATATTAGTAAATAACTGAAGATAACTATAAACTCCATGAGGGAGTTATATTTTATATTCTTTTTACAGTAAAACCTTGGCTATCAGGAGACCAGCTTTCTAACATCGTCACTCAAACAGAACATCTCCAGAAGAAGGCAACCAAATAAACCAAAACAGATTTTGACAGCAAAAAAGCTGCTCCTGAGAACTCAGCAACAAAACAAGGTCAACTCAAGATCCAAAGAACTGACCAGTTGTACTATTTACAAGTATCCCGCGAACCAGGTGAAAGAAGTGTACTGAGTGGCTACACTGGCATGTAAAAGTCAGTCTTTTTTACATGAAGGCCAGGAAGCATGAGAAAGCAGTTGCACAGAAAAAGAAAAGAAAGTAAGGAGAAAAGTATTTAAAAACCAAAACAACTTTCAAAAGACAGGCAAACATTAGACACCCTGGAGATTAAAGGTAAAGCTGCCACCGTAGAGACAGTGAAAGCAGCAAGTAGAGACCAGAGTGGACCTTACAGGGTATGGAGCACATCAGACATCCTGATGGCCAGAAAAGAACCAGTGACAGAGAAGCTCCAAGCCTCAGCACTGAAGACACAGAGGAAATGTCTACTGTGCGATGGGGAACAACTACCACCTGCTCTTTAATACCCCTGCAAAGCAGCAGCCCTCATGTATGGTCTTGCTAACAAATATTACTAAGTCAAATAAGCCTGGGAAATGCTACAGTCTCTAGTTGCTCTCTGTGGTCCTTTCTTGGAGAGTCATGTCTTTTAGTCTACTTAAGGGTTCAAGAAGGTTCCATAGAAAACCACCAAAAATGACCCCAACCCCCTACTCTGTTTAAGCTATAGTTTCCCAGACTTGTCCAAACAGGTAATATCAGTTAACAGAAACACAGTTTGGGAAACTGTCCTAAGGATATCAGTAAGTAGTACTGAAGGAATACCAAGTAATACCCTTCCGTAGTTAGAAAAGAAACACACTCATTTAAGGCCACAATGCACAGTAACAAGTACAGTCATACTTGTTAATACTTGGCTTTTAAAAGCAAAAATTAGAACACGATACTTTTTAGTACTTTTTTGCTCCCTAATTTATGAATTTATTTATATAAAAAAGGGGTGGATGAGCTAGAGCTCTGGGTTTAGCATATCCAGATACAAATCTTTACTCCACTACTTAACAGGGTATGGGACCTCAAACAAGTTACTAAATCTTTCTAAACCCCAGTTTCCCCATCTGCAAAACAGGGTAAAAGCAGTGCTGGGAATCACTCCACCAAGGTTCTTTCATGCTCCTACATGTCTTGTTGAGTATGCCAAGAATGCCAAGTCCTGAGCACTCTGCCTAAGCCATTTCACAGGGTTGTATTTGCAGGGAGCAACCTTGCAGAAGGAAATAATGTATGACTCTTTGACAAAGAACAGCCTTGCTTTCAGGCTGCGATAAAGTGGCACATTTCCCAGGCTCTCTGTTCCACTCCTATAAGGTATTCTACTATTTTTGTAAGCATACACCCAGGCCCACCTGCATCACTACTATGGAAATTGAGACTCAGGGAACTGATAGAACCAGGCTGACACTCTGGCAGTTGCTTTTGCCGTGAGTAATAAAAGTCTTCTTTCTCTGACTTAGGAGTCTCATGTCTTCTATAAGCATCCATGAAACTATGGTAAGATCACTTGTTAGCTTGCATGTAGGGGAAAAATATAAGATCCTTTATAGTTTCTGACAAATAATACTTGTCCCACAGGACATTTGAGAAAATTAAATATTATAAAGCAAGTAATATGCTTAACCCAGTATCTGGTACCCAGTATACCTTTATCCAACATTAGCTATTTATAGGTATTATGAATGAATAATAGAGGTAAACAATGAATCACCTTTATTAAAAATAAAAGCCCAAGAAGCTATTAAATTCTCAATTTAAAAACTGATAAATTCTGAATTGCAAAATACTAATCAGTAATGTTTCAAATTTCCACAGTGTATAAAATAGGCTAGAGGAAGGCATTAGCTTGAATGGCTCTGGTTGCATGTAAAAATACCTTAGTAAGTCTGTACATACCAGTTCTTTTGCTTCTTCAAGCTGTTTCTCCACATTTGCAACCATCTGTTTCTTCTCATCTGAAACAAACAATAATATCAAGAAATTGCAAAGGATATGAATAAATTTAATATTTAAAAACCTCTATTTTTATATACTTTTGTCCTTTCTGGTCAATCAGATTAGAGAATAAGGCAAAAGACCCTATCATTCTTTGGTGGATTAGAAACCACTTCAAGCCATCGATTCTAGGCTATCTGGAAATACGCAACCCTAAAGAGTACCTAATTATTAAGAAATGCTATACATTTTTAAGAGAGACTAAAAATTATTTGTTCTTTAGGAGAGACTATGTCAACAATAGCAGATTTAGTGGTGGCATGAGTTGTAACTTTAATAAATAGGGAATAACTGATTTATTAGTGAAATTTTAAAGACAAATACAAAACATTTCCTAAAACTAGGCAAGAATTTATAAGCCTTAAGAAACTTGTGTTTTCAGTAGCATTAAAAATCGAGTGTAATGGAAGAAATATTTGAAGTCAGGACTACTGATTCCAAACCCAAAGACACTATTTTACTAGTTATGGGATCCTGGGCAAGAAATATTTCTTTCTGAGACTTAGTCTATATTCTCCAAAATGGAAATAAAAAATATCTCCTGGATTATTTTTAGCTCAAATAAGCTTGATGCAAGTGAAATTACTTTTAAATTGTAAAGTGCTAAGTCTGTATGTGGTTTATTTAAACTCTATTGGAATCAAGTTATAACCCAACTGTAATCCCCTTCTCTAGGACAGGTATGTCCTGGCAGATAATTTCAGAAAACTTTCCCATATCCTCATTTCAAATCAATCCACCCATCTGTTCACTTACCCCAACTAAGTCATGTACCAATCAAACTTATTGAATATTTATGGTTTTGTCTGCCTAGCACCTTTCTCTTCTTAGGCAAAAGCCCCCACTCTTTGAAGACCCTCTTTCCGCAATAAGCAGGGCAATGGAAAATGCTATCTCCTTATATGACCCTGCCTCTTTGGTCACAGTGAGTTGGCAAATGATGGGCATCTCATCCTAGCTGGACTAATCTTAGTAGCTCAATCCTTCTGGCCACACTGGTCTGGGGGACATGGAGTAAGATAGGTATATGACCCAAGGAGACCAATCAAAGCTCTAGAGCAAGAGGAAAGTCTTTTCCTCTCTCCTGGTAATGAGAACGTGAGCCTAGAAGCTGTTGGCATCCGTTGGACTAGCTCCAAAAAGAAAGCAAGTTTGCCGTGGTTGAAAGTGAAGACTGCATTTAAAAGAAACAAAGCTGGCTGGTGGCTCAGGCCTATAAACCCAGCACTTTGGAAGGCTGGGAGGATCACTTGAGCCCAGGGGTTTGAGACCAGCCTGGGCAACATAGCAAGATCCTGTCTCTACTAAAGAATATAAATAATAATAACCACATTAAAAGAAACAAAGCTGACAGATAGAGAAATAGATATAGTTAGTTACTAGTTCTAAATAACTGAAATGGCTTGACTTTATAAAACTTGACTTTATCACAGTTTGGTTTCTTGAGCCAAAAAAAATTATTTTTCTTTATTTAAAATCGGGTTTATGTCATATGGAACCTAATGAGACTAACAGAACAGACTAGAAAAGCCACATAGCTTGAAATGGGTACAATACCTAACTAGTTGACCAGTCCTTTAGAAGGATAGTCAATCATAAGTGGGAATCTTTAGTAGAAATTATTATTTTACTGGAATAATAATTAGATTCTGCTAACCCCAAACCCTTCCCTTTGTTACCCTCAAATTGAGCGGAGGGGCTGTCATATAAGGTATTGTGTGTATACTCTAAATATTTCTCCCTAAGAAAAATAAACATTTGAAATTAGAATTCAGCTTAATTTCCCTTCCTTGAAAAGGCTAAATCTATATATGGCCAAATTAAAACTTTAATATATGATCCCAAATTTATTTGTTTCTGGCACATTTCAATCCTTCTAACATCTCCCTACAGTTATACTAGAATAGTACTGTATTTTTCTGATAGAGTAGAATGCAAAATGAGACAAGCCCATTTTGGATCAAGAGTGAGATTGTGTATTTACTTATCAGAAGGAACATCTTGTTTTCTTTAAGGTATTAAGTCCTTAGGAAAATCCATGCCATGGACCTCCAGGACTAATATGCATCAGTTTTTTCATTAACAAAACAAAACAAAACAAAGAAGGAAACCTCCTTTGACTTGCATTGCCCTTTGCTAATATCCCTCTCCTTTCGTCCACAGCCAATTTTCTTCAAAGCAAGAGTAGACTGTGTTTGCCTTCCTCATCTCCCATCCACTCCCTGTGAGCGAGCTCCTGCCTTCACTATTCCTCTGGAAATGACTCTCCCTAAGATTAATAAGCTTTCCTTTGCCCAAACTAATAGACATTCTTTGGTCCTATTTTTATTTAATCTTGTGACTTCTGATACTTTGCTCCTCCCATCTGGTAACTCTCTCCTCTCCTGGCTTCCATGACACACTGATTTGTGATTTGTGATTTTTGACTCTCCTAAACATTCACTCCCATCTCCATGTCCTCTGCTGGGCACTGCATTTTTCAGCCCATCTTTTAACTGTTGGTGTTCCTTAGAGTTCAGTCCTTGTTTTTCTTCTTTTATGACTATTGTCTATGTCTCTGGGTAATTTCATGCATTTTTAAACTATCATATTATGTATTTATGATCCTAAATCTTCATCTCTAACCTGTTATATTTCCAGGACCTTTAATCCCAAATGCTTATGCACATCTCTACCAAGACCACCTGGCAAATTGCTATTTAAAACTCTCTTCAGAAATCACTACTCCTTTAAAGCCTTTCCTAACCCAACAAAAGAGTTAATCACTTTCTCTTACATAAAACACCTATAACTGTTACATAATCCTAATTATTTATCTCTCATATGAACAGGTCTGATTAACCTTTCATCTTGGGAGCTCTGGGAAGACAGGAGCCAAGCCTTAATCATCTTTGTAGTCCTATGCCAGCACTGAGCCTGGCACATACAATCAGTTCTCGAAAAACAATGGTCAATTAAATAAATAATGAAGGACAAGATAAGAATTTACAAAAGAAGCTACGTTACTAACCACCTTGGTTTTGCTGTCTCCATGTCTGCCCCTCCCCCATTTATTCCTCCTAAAATTTGGCTTCTTTTGGATCACTTGAGCCTAGCAGTCAAGGCTTGCCACATTCCAGACCCAAGCAGTCTTTCCAACTTTATTTCCAACTACGAGTTTGCCACTATGTACTCTACATACTAACTACATAGACTGTTCATTACTACCCAAACAAATCTCGTTTTCTTCTCTAAATCTTTATTAAGCTACCATTTAGGGTTCTTTGGTTGAATGCAATAGAAGTGATTCTGGCTAACGTAAGCCAAAAAAGAGAATTTATTAGAATAACGTGGGGTGACTCACAGAGTTGATGAGAAAAAAAATGAGCCACCTAGCTTGGGAAACACAGTATCAGGAGTGGCTCAGGGCACCAAGGAAGCAAGAACTCACCGACAGCCTCTACTAAAGAAGAGTGTTAAGCAGTTCTAACATTTTCTCTCCCTGGTTCACTCTGATCAAAATTCAAATTCCTGGCAAAAATTCTACAAATGTCCTCATTTGGGTAACATGTTTACCTCTTGACCTGAAGAAGGTACGGCAGCTTGTCAGTTCCACCAAGACTTAAGTAACGGGGTTTAAGTAGTTCCTCAATGGAAAATTGAGGTGCTGATATCCAAAGATACAATGGAGGATTCTGGGTGCAACAGATGTCCACTGTGCCCATTTATTGCAACCTCTTATAATATTGTCTTTCCCCATTTCTTTCTGTCCAAACCCCACCTATCTGTCCAGGAAAGCTCCTGAGATGTGACCTTATCTCCTTTGAATTCCTCTTTGCTCTGCTCTAGGGGGCCTGATAATCATTAGAAATTAGGTTCTGTAGTCTCCTTTTCAGCCTCATCTCCAGCTCTTTGAAGGCAGAGACCACTCTTGATACATTTTTGTCCCACCTTGTATTTAGCACAGAGAGGCGTATCTGGTAGGGGTCACTACGTACTTACTGAATGAATTGATCAGGCTTAGCATTCAGTAAAATATTTTTAACACACAGAGAAATTGAAGAAAAGAAAAACTCTATCAATGAGGACTGGGGCAAATCTTCCTACCTGAAATGACAAGTTTCCCTTCATGAAAAAAATAATTCAGTTGGAATAGAGGTGGAGTAATACAAGTAGATCATTTTTTCATAAAATCCATTTCATCAGGGTGCTGTCAAAAATAATGATGGAACTGAGACAATTTTTGATTGGTGCTTACAGTGTTCTTCATATTTTTAAGAAGACAAGAATTTGAAAAGTCATGATTTAGGAGGAAAGAATGAAGAAGGAAGGAGAGAAGGAAGGAAGAAAGGAAAGTAAGAAGGAAGGAAGGACAGATTGAATTAGATTCCCTTGGAAATACCTACCAACACTAAGTTGTGGTAACCTGGCAGCATTCCCATGTAATTCCCAAGAATTTCATTCTGACCACCCCGAAGACATCCACTTTACAAATGGCATGTTCCTAGGATTCAGACTTTTGTAACCAACAGCTATGACTATTGTGCATGACATTCCGTCTTTAACATTATCATAGTCAATCCTTAAAACAATCCTTTGGAGATACTATGATTATCCCATTCTCAGGCAGGTAAACAAATTCAGAGAGATTAAATTATTTCTCCAAAGTTAAACAACTAATAAATGACAGAACTGGTATTTCAGCAGGGTCTGTTGTGAACTGAGCTCTTAACTTCTATGTGTACTATTTATATTGTACTACATAAACAAACTCCCCAATTTTTGTTGCATGTAGGCTTGATAAGTGCTGATATACACATAAGTCTTAGCATAGTATGATCTTTTCTTGCCTACTCAATATTTACAGAAGTGCTTAGTGCCGACATATACACAAATCTTTGCATAGTACAATTCTTTCTCAATATTTACAGAAGTACTTAGCACTGAACACACCCAATAAAATACAGTGAAAGTGTCAGGC